AAATATATAAATTGTTTTGCATACTAACTATGTTGCATGTTAAGCATGCAAATTTCATAGATATAAACATGTCCAAGAAAAAAGTCCTTCACATGTGGACAAATTCTATACATCTGATAATAATTGTATAATAGAGTTATAGTTATTATAATTCATGTATAATTACATACACATAATTTATACGCACATAATCTCTCACACACATAATTTATATAAATTTATATAATTACACATTACAAGATCGAGACAATATTATATGATTGTATTCGGTCACACATATCTACCTACTACAAAAATATCTTATCTATTTGTTTACATCTTCTGATAGATTTGTGAATTTCTATTCGAATCACTTCCTCCCCCTCAAAACAACCATCTTTGGTTTGGTTGATTTATCAATCTGAAAAGTGGTTGAGGATTAAAATCGAAATTTCTCCGTAGCCGCACAACCGACGAGACGACCGCGACGGACGCTAACGTCGACGACGCCTCGAGGCGGAGCAGCCGATGCAGGCAAGCGTTGCAGCGAGATAGGCTAACGTCATAGGCCGTCCCCCGGGTGCAACTATGCCTTTGGCTTTGATGTTACCCACGGTTACGTCACGTGATCGTCCGCTATATCGTAGTTAATGGCCGGGGCCGCACAGGAACGCGGTATTATCGAAGGGAGTTTAAAGGGAGAGAGAGGGTGAATAAAGGGGATGGTGAAACGGCGGCGAGCGGGTACATCCGACGAGGCGGAAGTCCTGGACAGGTTCCGGATGCTTCGTGGCGCCTACGGCTAGCGAGACACATTCGCGATGCACCAACGCTGCATTGCGAGATGCAATTATCCGCGACGAATTAACCGCTCGCGCGTCTGTGAATGACGCCACTAGCTTTAGATCGCGTTTGGGCTCTGTTGCGTGAGGAGACAACAGTTGGGAAAATCATGTACAAAATTGCACAAAGCTGAAGCCGCATTCGTCTTTCCTGCTTACTAATTACATCTGCATACTGACTAATACAGATAACGCTTTTAACAAACAAAAAAAAAATCGACTGTGTAAACTTTAATTTTAAAGATGCTGTAAGTTTATGTGAGTATAAAATCACTTCTAGTTAATGAAACAACAACGATCGTATTAGTAAAGAAAAAGGTGAATACGGCTTCCGTATATAATATGGTCCTTCTTAATATTTCCGATATTAGTTGATGAATTATCTAGTGATCACTCGTGAAATAAATTAATTAATAAATTGAGTTCAATGTTATGATGTGTGACAATAGGTAACAGATAGCGTGTGGTACAAACGTTACGACACATTTTTACTTTGGAGAATTTGCAAACATTGTCAAACTAAACTTTGATCTCTCAAACGGCGGATGGTTTTAGCAACGTGTAAATATGTTAAGTTCAAACGAAGTCCAAAATATAATTGCATGCAGACATCCAAAAACTTATTTTCTTGTTTTTATTTTTATTTAGGCGACATTTCTCAAGCTATAAATTTTCTTCCATCCAGTTATATAAAGTACATTCCGTGTTAAAAAATGAAGTGAATTCGTTTATAAACTTTCAAAACTGCTAATAATAGAAGAAGAATAATTAATTGAGTTTTAAAACGTTGAATTCACTTGGCTGTTTCTCAGTAAACAAAATGAAAAACAAATGTCAGTAGAATGGCAACAACAATTTGTAGGTAAACTGCTACTTTTTATTGTGCCAAGGCTGTGATTATGCAATATCTTGCTTAACCACAGTTTGTTAAAAATAAATAATAAGTTATTTAAGTTTAAATAAGAATAGTTTAATAATTAAAATCACGTATTGTTCGGTCAGCAAGAACAGTGTACAGTCGAACCTCGATAACTCGAATCTCAAGGGAAGAGCTAAAATCTTCGAGTTGTAGAGGTTTCGATTTATCGAAGTTCTTTTTTCCTTTCCGCAGAGCGGAAAGAAATGAACAAAATTTTTGTCTTATAGAAGTTTTCGAGTTATAGAGGTTCGAGTTATCGAGATTTAACTGTATTTATCATTAAGAGGATGCTGAAGCGACGGCCGAACTTTGTGTATGATTACTTGTGTTTATAAATTTTGTGTCATTTATCGAATGCTTCGTTCCTGAGTTCTACATTGACATTGTAAAGTTAGAGTTACCTGCTAGTGTTTGTTTTAAGTTAATTTATTCATGGGTAAATTTAATTTAATTTAATTTTTTATTTCTAACGCGCGAGTTAATTTGTTATTTTGTAATTTTATACATTCCTTTATATTTATCAATAGTTTTATTTTGACAGAGTATTTTCCGTGTTTTGACACGACTTATATTCTCGACATAAATTTCGATTTTTTGACTTTGTTTACGTACCTTAAAAACGTACGAACTTATCGTAAGTAATATGATAATTCTTTATTTAGAAAAACATTAAAAAACACACAAAGAAAAAACTATTGATTGTACGCAAATCTGTTTTTGCATACGTTTTTAAATTGCTACTGAATATTTCATGTAATTGCTTTTTAACGTTGAAAAGAATCATAACTCGTGATCGAAACGTCTGTTGCATATTTATGATAAAATAATTCCAACACACAATTAACAGTGTTTATACTTTTATTGATTTTTTTATTTCTTTCTTCGTAAAAGTTGTTTTACGAGTATTTTTTTTTCATCACAGAAAACAATAAATATATTTGTCACTATCTCAGATATGAATGTTTTTGATCATTTTTTCTTCGTTACATTTGCCTTACAATGTAATATTTTTGAAACTTACATAATGCGATGGCAAGATTTAAGACCTACCTGCGCACAAAAAGACATGACCTTATATGTATGACGTAAAATCATTTCGAGACCATTTGTGTGAGCATTTAATGTAAGATCATTACTTACAGAGCATAGATCCAGAAAACAAATGTTTGGTCGATAAGTATCATGTAAAATATTTCGAATACTAAGCAACATTTGCATAATATTAATAAATTAAAATAATCATTGTGTTTGTTTTGATTCTCTATAGTTTTCTTAAAAAACTTATTTTGAATTGTGTGTGAAAGATTAATTCAATGTCACTGTTAAGAATATTAAACAGACTTACACTTTTTTATGCGGGTATTATCAATACACGATGAATGCTTTTGCGTTTTGCAAGTCATGTTGCATACAGTAGATATAAAGCCGTCATTTTATACGTAGAAAAAAGAATTATTTTTTATCTGTCTCTTGCTATCGCGCGTCGTTCTCTTTTGGCCTTCGTCATCGTTTCAAGATCCGATTCGATATGAGTCAATTATTGATAACACCGACGGTCGTGTATTATTATAATGTTATCACGTATATCAAGAAAGTTTAAAAAACTTATTTTGAATTAAAGGATTAATTCAATGTTACTGATAAGAATATTAAACAGACTTACATTTTTTTATATTAAACAGACTTACATTTTATTATCAATACACGATGAATGCTTTTGCTTTTTGCAAGTAATGTTACATACAATAGATAAAAAGCTATCATTTTGTACGTAGAAAAATGAATTATTTTTCATCTGTCTCTTGCTATAGCGCGACGTTCTCTTTTATCAACGTTTCAAGATACGACTCGATATATGAGCCATTCATAGGCCAAATTGATTAACTCCACTTTTTGAATTTTTTCAAATTTTAGTGCCAAAGCGCTTTATTAATGATTAACTTTTTATATTTCCCCAATTTCTCGTTTTGTGGAGTTAATCAATTTGGCAAATGAGCGGCTCATATATGAGTCAATTATCGATAACACCGACGCTAATGTATTATTATAATGTTACCACAAACATCGAAAAGAAAACATCTTCAAACAATAATTTAATTTTTAACTTTTGTATTTTTTTACAATGTTACAAGAAAAACGTTAAAAAAGTTAAATTATTGATGTGTACATTAAAATATCTAAGAACTTTGCATTTTATTAGCGAACTGATTTTTGTCTGATTTTGGATGTAGAGTGTGTTTCTCTTTTCGATGCTCGTAACTTCGGTTCTTCTCGTGTTTGATTTAATTAAGTAATTCATTAAGGAAATATTGGATACTGACACTAGAGACTTGTAAACCAAAGTTTCGAAGTATTGAAATTTTTTCGTATTTAGTGCATTAAATAAAAAAGTGCTTTGACAGAAGCAGAATAAAAAAAGTATAAGAGCTAAGATTTCTAGATAATCCCCGTAGAATATTGAAACTGAGCATAAATGGTTTACTTACAGTTTTCCACCATAACTTAAATATTTTTATGTTGTAGAATTGTTTTATAGATTATAGTCTAGTTGAAAACAAATTAAAAAAAACAAATTTAAAAAAACTTATTTATCTTATATTTTGAAATCGTTTATAGCGTATATATTTGTATGTATATTGACATCTCAACAAGAAAAAAAAAAATTTCGTGTTGTTCCGAGATCAAGTACCAGTTTACAAAATTGAAATCGATCTTGTACAGATTGAAAACAGATATCGATCAAACATCTTGTGAAAACAAAAAATTACTATATATGTATTACCATATATCATTGTGTATGTAAAAAGAAGAATTCAAAAGAGCACTGCGTATCCATCTTTAAGAGCACTACATAGTTTCTTATATTTATTTGTTTTTTATTGCATAATGTTTCATATTTACTATTTTCTTAATTAATAACATACGAACGTCGATGTTATCAGTAAATCCGTCGATATATGAATTAAAACTTGGGACACTGATGAAGGTTGGAAGAGAACTGCACGCGATAGCAGAAAAAAATTCATCTGACCGCGTGAAGGTACTTCCTACTCTTTTACGTAAACTGAAAGAATGCCGTCTTGCGGGACGGCGAGAAAATTCACTTCCCCACTCCGCCTATATGAAATAAAGAGAGCAGTTGTGGAATAGAATGAGATAGACAAATCGAATCGTAGTCTTTTCTGTTTTTTAGCTCTACACGCATAGTATAAATTTTTTAACTTGTCTGTCACCGATCATGATATTTATTGTTAAACAATATGGAGGGGAGAACCTTTTCATTCTTGCGGAGCTTATTTATATCTGTTGCTAGAGCAGCTTTTATCAGTTTTAATCTTTTCTTTGCAGAAGGAAGAAATTGAAAAAGTTAAATCTTAGTTTAATTACAGTTTCATTGTTGTATTTTAAATAATTATGGCCGGTGAGTTCTGTATTTATCAAAGAAATTACTTCGTAACTAATAGACACGCACATATGTTTTAATTGTATATAAGTACTGTTATAAAATATTGTCATACTGTGCGCGATTTTGCAGATGTACAAGTGACAAAATGGATGTCGATGTCCTCGCCAACGCCAGTCGTGTTAATAGTGATCAGTTACCTATACGTAATCTGTTCAGTTGGTCCACGCTTTATGAAGAACAGAAACGCGTACTCGTTGAAAAAAGTTATGCAACTCTATAATATTTTTCAAGTTGCGTATAACATTTGGTTACTGTTTAACGTTATAAATTATACTAAACCGCTTAATGGTGTACTCAACTATTGTAGTTCCTTCGAAACCCTTTACAGTGATGTCGAAAAGGTAAAATTAGTTTAATCAATCAAAAAAAGAAACAAAAAAAAAAAAAAACAAAAAAAGAAAATAAATTCGATTTTTTCATTGCAGCCATTTGAAATATTGTGGTGGACGATTTTGCTAAAGTTAATAGATTTTTTTGACACCGTAGTGTTTGTACTTAGGAAAAACTATCGGCAGGTTTCAGTTTTACATTTATACCATCACATTAGCACGTTTCTCTTCATGTGGGTGGCTCTAAAATATTTCCCACATTCTTCTCAATTTCTTATCATTTCGATCAATACTACGGTGCACGTGTTAATGTACTCCTATTACTTTCTGACCACCTTTGGACCGAATGTGCAACGAATACTTCAACCATACAAGAAATTGCTCACTTTCATACAAATGGTAAGACACGAAGAATTGAATTTTTAATCGTCGGTTAAATAAACGTTACTCTTTTTAATAGGTACAGATTATGTTTATAACGTTGAACGGTATTCAAGGTTTACTATGTAACGACAGAAAAGTGTTACATTGGAGTGTTGTAACAATCATTAATGGATTAATAAACTTGTCGTTTTTCTTTAACTTTTTTAACAAGTCTTATAGGAAGTCAAAAACGGTATGATTTTTAATAATGTTTTGTGTAATAAAAGTCTGTATTTCATATAACAGAATCGTTGTCCAGTTTTTTCCTACTAATTAGGTTTCGGACGGTTTCACAAAGAATTGGTTTACAATTTTCTATCTTTTTTTTTTTTTGCATAAAATGACGAAGTAAAATATTTTTTAACCGATATAACACTCTTTTTGCTTTGAAAAACTTTCTAAAAACTCACCTTGTTTTTGGCGTTTCAAATCAAAATCTCTTTTTAGTAGATATTGTTTCAAAAAATTGTGATACGTCAAAATGTCGAACAATATAACAATCAAATCAAATCAATAAATCAATAAATGGCGTTAAAATAAAATTAAGTCAAATGGTCTTTTTCTCTAAAAAAAAGTATTATAAGTCTCGTATATGAAAGTGCTTTGGAAGCTTTGAGTGAATAGTTAAGACCCTTTACACTTTTTTTTTGTTAACACCGTGTGCGGTGTATGAACTCCGGATGTATCACAATCATCTGGAAGATGCTGCACACACACACACACACACACACACACATTTCGATCTCTTGTAAGACAGGTGGTGATATCTCACGAGTGCGCCTTAAGTGCTAATTTCGGGGGCGTTACATTTCCCATGTTTGACACGGCGAATCCTCGGGAGATTCCGTGCGTCCACGTCGACGTCTACGCGCGGCGACGGTGGCGTACATAATTCTGGATTTAGTGTCGCGTTAGGCCGTCTGAGTTTGAGGATTGTATTCCCCCGAGTGGCGCGAGATACCGTATGGCCGGCCGGTCGCGCAGCGTGATTTGTGGACGTCAATACAGAGAGGGGTTATGCGTGACGTATCTCACCGATCATAATTACATCCTGTTACTGGAGAGATTCTAGCGTCGGCAGTCCTTCCTTCCTTCCTTCCTTCCTTCCTTCCACCGTGTCCTTCCTCTGCTCTATCAACTCGTATATTCGTATCGCTCGTGTTGTTCTCTAGCCGCGATGATATCCTTATACGCTTTGATTTATTGACTTCTAGAAGAGAAATAAATAAAAATTGTGTAGATGAGTCCTCGTGAAAAATTCGTAAACGTGTAGAATAGGCCAATGCGAGGAAGATACAAGATGTTTGTGTATAGAGTGTAAATATTTATAGAAATAAATAATTTAATCTTCCTATTTTTTGGCACGTGTTTATCGCGAATTTATTTAGTTTGTAAGATGTTTTGAGAAAAAACAATTCAGAAAAAAATGAATTTATAAGCAAGGCTGACCACTTACGTAACTAAGAAATACATCATTGTGAGCAAGAATGCAGTAGCTTAGTAAGGAGGGGGGCGAGAAGGGCGATCCGTCCTCCGGGCGCCGTCTTAACAAAGGCGCAATGGAGTAACATGTAAACGCATTTTTATTGCTTGAAGCTCAAGCGTTATTTAATTTAAAAAAATTTTATTTATTATAGTTTTACTTTTCCGATTACTTGCATAATAGAGATACGAAGTGTCTCTTTATAAAATTCGGCGTCTCTTTATAAAATTTTTTTTAAATCTAATATTACTATAGTTTTTAGTATAGAATGGAAAGACTGTTTTGTTTTTTCTTACTTATTCTTAAGAGGATACTTAAAGGAACCGTCCTGTTGTATCAACATAATAGTACAATAATAGATTTTGAAAATACTTAAACTGTAATTTGCAAACACAATGATTAGCTTTTCTGTCAAAACGGCAAAACGTCTATTATACATTTTTGAAGTTAAAACTAATCAAAACTTATCTTCGTTCAACTATGAGTCAGATGCGATTAAATGCGGGCTTGCGATGCTCTTTATAGAACGAGATGCAACAAAAAAGATTGATTTTTCAGATGTTATTAAAGAATTTGCAAGCATCAAAGTCCGCAAACTTAAAATTTAAATATTTATATAATAAATAATATTTATATAATAAATAATATTTTGTTATTTATTGCAATGTAGTTTATTTAAACAATTTTTGTTTATTTTAAAAAATTTAGTTTATTAAAAAAGTTTCAAATTTATTTAAAATTTAGACCTTATTGTTTATTTTTTTATATGAATTGACGTTATATATAAAAAAAAGGTAAAAGTGTAAAATAAAAAGATGTTGAGCACTAACTGAAAAGAACTGTTAGTTATTTGAGTGGTCATTATCAGAATAACCTAATAAGAAAGTCACGGGGAAGAAAGACCGCCCCGGACGCTGTCTTTTCTTACTACGCCATTGCAAGAATGTCCTAATAAATACTACAAATTTTATTATTAAATTATATAACTGTTATGTTTTTTTGTTGTTTAATATATGATACTTAAACAGATGTATAGTTTAAAATTCATCAACAAAAAAACTGAACTAGAACTACTTGGCACGAATATATATTCTGGGCACTTATTCCCAAGGCTCTTTTCTTCCGATGTTCTTTGAGATGGAAGTCGTAATCTTACGAACTGACAGATAATAGCGGAACGTCATTGTCGCTGCTCTCACCTCTGCGAGCGCGACGTACACACAGCTCTATTGTGACACTTTTTTTTTTTAATTCTCTTACCGTCGCGTTAATAGCGACAACATTGTCGGTAAATCACATCTAGACCTGCGAACTTAGCAGCACGACTCCGGGCGAGGCTATTAGTATAAATACGGTTATAATGCAGGACCTAGGGGTGGAAAAGGGTATAAACAGCTAGTAAATCAAGACCTGCGTCCCTCTGCCAGGGGTCGAGAGAAAATCAGGGCTCGCAACGTTTAACGCTCGCAATAGCGGCTGAATCTTTCTTAATCGGTCGTTTTTGTCAGCGTGCTGCTTCTGCAGGTGACCTTGTCGCGATCTAACTTTTGCATTAATATTAAACAACGGAAGATGAAGGTAAGATTGCCTACAAGATGAGTGTTCAAGTGTGCCCACTTGAGTGTTTTCATCATTAATAAACATATTGTTCGGTTTTGCAAAGTAATGTGAAGTTAAACATTACGACATGTTACTAACATAGCCTTTTTGTATACAATGCAAACAATATTTAGTATGTAAATTGTATTAAAATATGTTGCTTTTCCCGACAGAAAAAGACGAATGTGTGTGCGATCTTTGAAAATAAATTTTTCTGTAAGACGATATTAAAGAATAAAAAATCAATATAAGATATTTATTCTTTTTTGTGTGTCTTCTACAATTTATTTTTTACTAAAATATATGTTTACTAAATTTACTAAGTGTGTGGTTGAAATATGACATAGTTTTTTTTAACAAAATCAATTAAATTTATTTCACTGAAAGATCACAACGCCAATTTTATTTTTCGTCGATCGATTATGCAATATTGTCATTATTTAAAATTTTATGTTTAAATAAAATCTTACGTAATGACAACATTGCATATGTTATACATCTACTTTCTGTTTTATTCCCGTAACAAATTTCGGCAGTTTTATACATATTATTTTCTTTTGTTTTTAATCTTATAAAATACATTATCTCTTGAACTTGACACGTAACTATTATACAACTTACAAAAAGTATGTATATCAGAGTTTGCATCAGCAACGAGCGAAGAATAGATCGCGAGGAAGGCAGGTGACAACACGCGCGACTTGCTCGAGAGACTCTCACGTACCTACAAGTTAAGTTTCTCACTTGCAATGACGCACCTCTGTCGAATTAATCTGCCATTAATATCCGCTCGCTGGGGCGGAAAAGCCGGTCGAGTGTGTAAAGCTTCTCTAAACAAGCGGTTCTAACAAATGACGATAGTCCCGTCCGCGTTCCTCCTAATGCCGCGGCCATGTATGCATACGACCGGACGGTGATTAATGCTGGCGCGGAGGGTCAAGATCCTCGTCGATTAATCAAATTAAGGGTGGAAGCGCGAGATAAAACTCGCGCCGCTGGAAAAGTCCAGGCCGTGCTTGCGACCGATGAGAAATCGTCATCTTCGTCGTCGTCGTCGTCGTCGTCGCCGTCCTGTCTATTGCCGTGTGACGCGACCGTTGGAAACAGGGAATACCGGGAGCTACGAGAGAATCGTGCTGAAAAATGACGGACATGACTTATCTGTATCGAGGATTGCGTCCGGTGTGGCCGTTTGAGAAGAGGCGTGACCACCGGTCCCGCGTTTTAAGTCTGCATAGTCCGAGATTATGTTCTCTGAGAGAAAACTGGACACTCTGGTCGCGCTTCAGGCAGAAAGCCCCAGAGGGGTTTTAAGATCTCTCGAGTGTAAACGGAAATATGAAATATAGTCTCAGATATGATCTACCCGAGTTAGCCGTTTGTTCATCGTTCGTCGAGTTGGACGTGTTTTTGTTCGTCGCTTTGGTATGCAAGCAGGTAAATAGGCGATGAGAATCAAACAAGACACACGGCACCTACGTTAAATGGATCCCATCATGGGGATATCGTCAGGAGGTCTTTCATTGCTCTGTGCCGCCGTGTCCTATAGAACATACGGATCTCTTTCGGTGTCCGGCATCTTCGTGATTATTGCGGATCGATGAGGTCCCCAATGAAACGATCAGTTGAGTCCCGCGCACGAATTCATATCTCGCGCATCGCTTGTCTCGAACAGAAGCTCGCAGGCATTCGCCGGGGACGTTTGAAACGATGCGCTGCGGAGCGAGAGAAAGAGGGAGGGTTTGCTCGAGTTCAGAGGGCGATTGCCGTGTGTGTACAGGGCAGGCGAGAGGAAAAGGAGAAAGCGAGACAGAGAAGAAAAGCAAAAGAGAGAGGGAAAGAAAGAAAGAGAGAGAGAAAGAGAGAGACGAGAAACGAGAGAGCAGCCCCGTATTCGCAAACACGCAAATTTCAAAAGGCACTCGACTATGTGATGTCGTGGCGGGCATGAGCGACGGGGCTCTCTCTCTCCGACGACGTATGCAAATACAGATCGAGCATGATAAATTGCTCTTGTCAAGCCACCCGGTATTTCGCACGAGCCTATAGAAACCCGTTTACCACTGAGGTACGGATTCCGCATATAATCGTCTTGCCGACGACGGTTGAAGCGGGAGAGCGCCGCGACGGACGAAACTTTCGCGTGCGCTTAGTCGGCGCCGAT